TAAACAGGTGGTTAGCATAAGAGTGACAGTGATGTGATTCATTGCACAGAAGGGAGGGAAATCACATGGGATACATATCTTCCTTTGTGTCTAAAATCTGAATATTATTTCATCAATGGCCCCTTTCCTCAGTATCCTTTGGCATAGAAACTCTAGCCTCCCTGAGCAGACTTTTCCATATTAACTTTGCAGTTCTCAGGAAAGTTATACGATTTTCAAAAGGACTTTGGGCGAACTACCACAATTATATGTTTTCTGGGCAATTGGTGGTAAAAGGACATGGCCTGTATTGTATAGGTAAAGACTGCCTAAAGCTGGTTCTTATGCATCTGAGGATTCACCAGCCTATACTGTTGGTTAAAGGTGCTCTCATATCTTTATCAAGCTATTAGTATGCTCTCTTCTTCTGTCTGACATACAAAGAGTTGGCTGTTAAATTGTACTTTATTATGCTTACAATAAAAATGACTTACAATAAAAATACATTTAAAAAACATTGCCTAATGCATCCATTGGTATTATTTGCCATTTGAACATTTTAATTTTACTTTCAAAGCTTAACATACTTTATATAATACCAAACAAAATAGATGGATGAAACACTAAAATGTTGCATATAAAAACCATTCCTATAATTAAGTTTGAAAGGAAACCTTTCCCGAAAGAAATACTTGGGTTACCACTGCCGACTTTTTGAAAATTTGAGTTGCTTGTCTGCCATGCTGACCCTCTTTTATCAATATTTTGAGTCAATGACCCAAAACAAATACACTGTCTGAGCATAGACCCTGGCTATGCTCAGCCAGGGTCAGCATAATAACTAAGTTACTAGCATTTACTACAGAAGGATTTTAGTGATGGCAGCTGCCATAGTTCATGTAGAGAAAGTTTACCTTAAAGCTCCGCCCAGCTGTCATTTGTGGGGCGAAAGGCCGGCCTTCGGCAGGCCGCTCGCCCAGCTTCCGCTGTCACTTCGGCTCAGTCGAGCCAAAGCATATGCTTGGCCGCTGTACGGGATATAGTGAGTTATATATCTATTTTTTGGGGACAGATAGAGCTTTCTTTTGGTGGTATTTAATCACCACTGGGGTTTTTATTTTTTACTATATAACAAAAAAGTACCCTAGATTTTGAAAAAAAAACATGTTTACCTATAAAATGTTAAGAAACATTTTATTATCACCCCAATTTTTTGGTAAAATATAAAAGACAGGGTCACGTCGGGTAAATAGACACCAAACATGTCAAGCTTTAAAATAGCGTGCACGCGCGAAATCGCACAAAACGACCACAGCCAAAATTGGCCATAGGCAACGCTTTAAAAGTTTTTACCGCTCATCAGTTTAGTGTTATCAGTGATTGATGGGCCTAGAAGTATTGCTCTCACTCCGACGTTCGCGGCGATATGTAACATGTGCGGCATAATGGGCGCAATCGTCGTTATCGTACATAGACGCACCTGATGCATGTTTGCGTGTGTATGTGGGGGGACTTTAAAACATTTTTTGTGTTATTTTTTTTATTATTTGTGAATATTTTTTTTAGCTTCTTTATTTTTTTAATGCTTTAATTTTTTGTTGTTTACTTTTTAAAAGAATATATTTTTAGACTTAAGTTTATTGCTATCACATAGCGGACTAAGAAATCCCCTATGTGATAGCCAGTTCACCAAACAGGTCCTCTTTATGGAGACATCAGGGGTCTCCAGGACCTCGGATGTCACCTAGGGACCCCCAGAGAAGCTGATGAAGCAGAGGTCTGCTTCATCAGCTTCTCTCCGGTGTTCCGCACCGGAGAGTGACACTGAATGCAGGAAGTGATGTAATTTACATCACTTCCTGCATTCGGGGACAGGAAAAGAGATCAAAGGGAGATCGAGTACTGAGCTCCCTTTGATCTGCTGTTAGAGCGTCGTCGTGCCGGTCCCAGCCGCACCGGGCACATCGGATCACGTGAACGGCAGCGAGGAGACAACGGGACATGAGGTACAGGGAGGCGCACACCCGCAGCTCCTGCAAGCGATCGGGCTTCTCTAGAGACGCCTGATCGCTTGTATGTAAACAGCCATCGCTGGCTGTTTACATGCTCACTGTTTTCCCTCTCATGTGCACGCTGAGCGGCGCACACTAGAGGGGGGAGGGGCAGGACGTCTTAAGACGCCCTACTGCTCCTAGCAGACTCCCGTCACCCTAGTAAGTTCACCCTAGAATAACTTTATTAACATTAAAAGGAGAACTATGGGGTAACCTTTTTCCCATAGTTCTCTTTAGGATCACAGGAGGACATATATTAGCATCCTCCCATGACCCAAAACCTAGTATATAGCGGGCTATTGCGGGAAGTGTTTTCCAGTCAAGCGTTACAAGACATAACTGGCATGGGAGAAGCTGAATGACACCATGATTTGCATGGTGTTGCTAGTAAGTGGCCAGCAGTTTCCATTGCTAATTGCTAGACAACTGCAGTGTGGGCAGAATCCAAACAAGGTAGTATACATCTATGAAGGTGCATGTGCAATGGCTGTTTAATGTTCATACAGTAATTCTAGGGTGAAGTTCTACTTTAAGAATCCACTGTAAGATAAGAAGAGAACACACAGTTATTTGACAATAATTTACTACCCTCGGTTTCTTAATTTCAGAAAAATAATTCAGCACTAAAAGGATATACTCTATAACTTGCAAAAACAAAATGATGCATTTAAACCAGTGCTGGTGGTAATTCAGGTGGAAGACAAAGTGGCCTGGATCACAGAAGTTTTAGTATGTGAGTCAATTTAAAATGATGAGTAAAAGTAGACAGGGGAACCATATGAACAAAAAGCTTGTGTAATGTAGTTGCACTTATTAGTTTATTTCTGGCTATTCAAACAGCAATGGGCCCCTGTTGACTGTTGGTTTTATACTGGAAGCGGTTCAGGTGGCCGTGAAGCCACTTAATTGCTTTCAGGGGCCGATAAATGTGTGCCCTACCCCAGCATGACACCTCGCCTCGCTTCCCGGGCTCCACTGCTCCTCCTGCAGGCCTGATACTGGCATTGTGAGTGTTGGCAGAAAAAGAGGAGAGAGATCAGCAAACATCCATTCCATTGATCTCCTCCCCGTTGAATGAAACTGGAAGCGACAATAATTTCAGACTTCTGTATTCCAAATTCCATATTCCCAATTCAGAATTCTGTATTCCAAATTCCATATTCTGAATTTCATATTCCACATTCTGTATTCTGAATTCCAAATTCTGTATTCAGTATTTCAAATTTCCTACGCAGAATTCCATATTCTGAATTCCATATTCCAATTCAGTATTCTGAATTCCAAATCCCAAAATCCTTATTCTGAATTCCGTATTCCAAAATCCATATTCTGTATTCCGAATCCCAAATTCTATATTCCATATTCTGAATTACATATTCCGAATTCCATATTTTACATTTTGTATTTTAAATTGGTAGGCCAGCGGTGCCCCCATTCATAGCCACTGACGGCGTTATGAGGGAGGTGGCTGTGAAGGGGGCACTGAAGGAGCACAAAGAAGTAGCAGTTGCAGGTACGGGGATATAAACATAAGTAATGTGTTTGGTGCTCTGTCCATACCCCCCTCCCCACCACAAGAAAAAAACTTCAGCTTTATGTTGAATGTAAGGGCAGATACTTTAAACTCAGGTATGTGCACTACTTGCATTAAAAAAATAGCATTTCAATATTTATTTATTAATAAATGCAGTTTATTTTATATCTCCTGGAGCTAAGCTTTAAAACGAAAGATAAAATGACAATCTGACAAACAGCATGATTGGTCACTTAGGCATGAAACAAAAATGCAAAAGAAGCCCAGTGATATATGCACCCCTTGTAGTTCATGCTGGTGATTTGTATCCAGTAAGATTCCAGTAACCATCATGTGAAAGCTTGTGTCGTAATTGTTTTGCGGCCAGTAAGAGTGTTGGCTTTCTGCTTTGGTAAGGACAATTAGGAGCACGTTAAAAAGTAGTGGTATACTGTGGCTATACTACTGATTTTCTGTCAGGTACATTTATAAAGCTCTACTATATCTATTAAAATCTGCTTTGGGCTTTCGCTTTCTTCAGAGTCCCACATTCTAATGAATGGGGAACACAAAAGCGTCGGAAGGGGGAGAAAAACTGTTATGTGACCTGAAATGAGTATATATATCTATGTCTCTACTGGACTAATACGGCTTACCCATATACATTACAGCACAATGAAAGATACCGAATACAGCCGCTTAAAGAAGCAAACAATCAAGTTGATTGGAAAAGAAACTCAGATAAGTGGTAAATGTTGTCATGTTGATTAGTATTGCTTCTGACCTGAAGAAGAGAGGTTAACTCTCGAAAGCTTGTCTTTTAAATATTTTGTTAGTCCAATAAGAAAGGTATCATCGCATACTACAATACTCCGTTTTGTTTTTGTTTTTTTATACATCTCTACTGGACTAATACGGCTTACCCATATACATTATGTATCTATAGATATATAGATATATCCATATATCTATATATCTATAGATATATATATATGTATATACAGTGTGTATATCTATCTATATATATATATATATTTTTTCTGCATCTGGGGATTCACCCACATTAACTGCAGGTTAAAGGTGTTCTTATTATCAATCTATTAGCATGCTCTCCTCTTTCTCATACTGTTATGTTGTGTCTTTGTTGTACTAAGAGTCAAAATGTACCTTCATTATGACACAATGCATAAAAGTGTTGGCTGTTTAATTTTACTTTAATATGTTGATAAGAAAAGAAAAGACTGCCTTATTGGAACAATGTATTTCACACGCAACAGTACCGGAGTTGTCACCCCACACCCCCTTCTGCATAGCCATTTACAAAGTACCGCTGCAGCATCATTACTGGTTGTGCTTTTTTGCAATTCCACTTCTGCAATAAAAACATCTTACCTGCCTGCTAGCAAATTTTTCTAGATTGTACACTGAGCTGTGCTGCACAAATATTGACTTACCTGCCGGTAGGTCCCATCCAACAAGGTATCCAGATTTTGCAGTGGAGCCGGTGTCTTGTCTTTGAACCTGGTTAAGAGGAGTCTCTGAATAGCACGAAACTGTACTGCGCGTTCTGATAGCAGATTTTCATATTTCTCTGTATTCATTCTTAGCTGGAAATAAAAGCAAAAAATTACCTTTTTTTTGTGGTATAATTTGGTCACAAACAACACAAAATAATTCCCTTATCCATGTCCTTGCTAGTTAGTAAACTCGATTTGAACACTGTCTCTCCTACCAAAGGGTTAAAGACTTAGAAGCATTGCATGTTAATGAGAGAAAGTTCAGTCTGTCTCTCAGTCTGACCCTCTAGTTTTACATTAAAACTGCTCAGAGTAGCTTGGAACATAGTGTAAAGTGTTGTCACAGCGCTAAAGGTTTGGAATAAATATGAAAATATGTGAATAAATATATGGATTACACATTTTCATATTTATTCCATGACTTAGAAGCATTGCATGTTAATGAGAGAAAGTTCAGTCTGTCTCTCAGTCTGACCCTCTAGTTTTACATTAAAACTGCTCAGAAAAGCTTGGAACATACACAAAGGACTTCACCAAAGATACATCTAAAGGGTAAAAAATATATTTAAAAATATATATATTTTTAGGTATACTGTGTAAATTGTGTAGGTGGTCATCTGATTACCATTACAGCAAAAACACTGTAATATTTTAAATCAAGAAGCATTGTAACTGCACATAGGTGAAATGTATACAAAAAAAGCAGTCTTCATACACGTACAGTTAATCCTATTATTAAACCATTTAATTCTATGTTGCATTTTACTTGAGTTGGCAGTTCACCCAGAACTAAATTCCCATTGAGGACCAGAAAACTATTTCTAATGAGTGAAGAATTTAAACTGGACTTCCTCTAAAAATATGTGCCAGAAAGTAGTAAATGTTTTAAGTACATGAAATTCCATGGGTCAGGCATAAAACAAAGATTTATGTTTTGTGAAAAGCTGATAACCATTTTCACAAGCCCCAAACACACAGTGCAAGCATCAATCCAATATGTGTAGAATTTATTTCCACTAGTCATTGACTTTCGTAGCTCTGTTTGAAAAATAAATCTTATAAGAATTTTGCCAGTACAAAAAGCTACTGGTAGGATGAAACAATAAAACATTTAGTCAGCCAATACTTGGTGTAAAGGGGTCAAATTAGGTTTTCTTTATGAAACTGAATGTTTTTGAAAAAATAATTTTTGTATCAATAATAATGGAGCATGAATGTGCTAAATTTGAATTAAATATTACACTTCCATATGAACTTGGTAGGCACTACCTGACACATTCAATGTTACATTTTATAAGGTGTACCTATATGCTCTTTGGAGGGCCTCATTATTGTTTAACCATGATCTGGATATTAGTTTTTGCCATTTTCCCTCCTCACCACAAAGGCTTTTTATTGACCCAATACTTAAAGTGACACTAACCTCAGGAATCAAACCTTAAAAATGCATTAATGTACCCCAATTGTTAACAAAAATGTAGTATATTTGTGCATCACTTAGTTGTAGATCCCCAATTCATCTCTGAATTTGGAGGGGAAAAAAATATTTGTCAGGGTAGACTGCAAACGCAAAAGATATAAGGTGCGAAACATATCTCAGAGAGAAACATAATACTTTGCGATTTTAAGGGGTTATTGAGAGAAATAGGGACAAGAATGCATGTGGTTAAAAGTATTCCATTGTGAGGTATGCAGTAGATGAGTATGGTTTCTTCATATAGAGTATAAATATATTGTGATAGTGACACACAAAAAAAAACACAGCCCTTTGTTGCATTACATAATATGTACCTTGGTCACATCCTATCAGTGCACAACTGTCTAGAAATACAATAAGCTGAATCCCATTTACCCTGGAAAACATGTTTTCAATATTACCACATGACCACAAAATGGATAAAACATACCTCAAAATGTTGATCTACTAGTTCAAAATATTCTTGCAATGGAACTGGTCCAGAAAAGGAGCATGCAAAGTCTTTAATTCCTTGTTTCAGGAAATATTCCTCAAAACGCAAGATGAGCTCTTTTGTAATAAGCCAAAGATCCTCAAATTGTTCACTCTGGATCCTATATCTCTCTAAAGAAAACCAAATAGAGATATAAAAAAAAGTATATATTTTAATGGTTAATGCACTGTGAACATTTTTGTAAAAAGCATAAACACCTTAGCTATATATTTCCTGTGCACATTCTGTGTATCTGCATCCATAGTTCTTTGGTTCTAACCATATTTGGGAGCATTTGCCTTCAATTACACCAGCTGTTTCACTTACTAGGGATATATTGTTGTATGGTTGATCAATTTAGATATAATGTGACCTAGGAACACCATTTAGTCTGAATGGACAGACTGTAGTTAACCAAAAATATACAAATATAAATGAATGTCAGCAATTTTTATCTTTTAGGAGACACGCTTGTCAGTGCCTAATTATGCATGCAAACTGTTTTTTATCAGCCAACAAATCAGTTTGACTACAGCCAGAATAAGATACTGTTTTCACCTTTTTCCTAAACACTCTTAAAGGGACACTAAACTCAAAAAATAAATAATAAAATTAAGCTCTATTAGACAATCATTTATTAAAAAACTATCTTCATTTTTAATTCACTGCCATGAAATGCTTTTAAAAAAACTATTTGTTGCTAGTGTTTCATAACTTCCTGTCAGAGGGTGGCTACTTTTTTTCTCCATGGTTCCTATGGGTGCTGAAAAGTAGCCACCCTCTGTGCTCACTCCCACTGAGAACTACAAGACGTGAGGACACATCAAGCATCCTCAAGTCTTCTCTTCTGACTCCTCTCTCCTCCCTCAAATCTGTATAATCTGCCTGCTCTGTTAAAAGCGTGCCTGTCTTTGCACAAGAGCCTTATCTGAAAAGTATGTCATCGTCTCTGCTTTTTCTCCTACTTCTAGCTTACCAAGCAAGGAGTGAGGGGGAGAGGAACATTGGGGGAGGAACGGTCTCTGACTACAATCATGTGCTTTGGGATATGTAGTGAAGGAGATCGGCACGCTCTCACAGAAATCTCATGCACTGCTGCAGGAAAGAAGCCGGGCACTAAAGATCGGAGGATTGTCGGGAGTGCGCCCAGCACTTTTTATAAAGAAAAAAAGGTACATTTTAAATGTTAGCATAGAAATTAAAGCGAGATTAGGTTAAGGGGTATAAGGAAACCAGAGATAGGTCATAAAATGTTTGAGTTTTGTGTTAAATGAGAATAACAGGGGCAATGTGGGAAAAGGGTAAGAAAGAGCTTGGGAATTTTGGAATGTCATTTAGTACATTTTGGCTCCAGATTACGGTAAAAAGACCCTTATCTAAACAGTTGTTTTAATACTTTTCAATGCCAGACTTGATCTTGTAACAAATCAGTAATCCCAGTAATATGTTATTTTGATGACACCAACACTAGGGCCAGAACTATTTATGTAGGATTGTAGGATGAAATCATTGTTGGCCACTAGTCTTCTTGGACAACCCCTAAGGTAGATTTCAACCTAGTTAAGCTTAACAAATAAAAAAAACTTTAGAGTCACCCTTCAACTCCAGTCTTTTTAGCCCAGTAACATGTTATTTTGCAGATGGAACCAACGATAAGGCCAGAACTGATGCAACTAATTGTGGAGAATTCGGTCCATTTGAAATCATTGTTCCATGGCCTCTAGTTGCCTTGGACCACCCCTGAGGTAGATTTCAACCTAGTTATACTTAAAGGGGTTCTAGACCCTCCCGTTTTTTTTGCCTATATCTACTGCTATCAAGCAACAACGCTAAAACAGTGGTTTCAACTTACCTTTTTTTATTTGCACGCTCCCGCGCCAAGAATCAGGATCTGCTCGTACGGCCACAAAAGGATTTTGGGGCGGGCGCATGCGCAGTTCCGATTATCGGGCGGGAGACAAGCAGAGACGCAAGGTAACTCTATTGACGCGTGCACCTGCCTGCAGACACCGCTGGATCGGAAGTGCCTGCAAGCAGAGAGGTGTCAGCGCTGAATCGGAGAGCCGCCGCACCGCTGGAGGGACAGATGAAAACATGGGGAAAGAAGAAGAAGATTGGAATAAAATACATCATTTAAGGTAAGTGCTAACATTAACATTGGGGAGAGGGGAAAAGAAATTTAACTTTAATGTCACTTTAAAGTGACATTAAAGACAAAAATGTTTTTCCCTTCCCCCCCATATTAATGTAAGCACTTACCTTAAATGATGTCTCTTAATCCGATCATCTTCTTCTGTCCTGTAGTTTTCAGCCTTCTCTCCAGCGCTGCGGCCAGTGTCAGATCCAGTGCTGACTCCTCTGTGATTGCTGGCACTTCCTCTCCCACGGTGTCTGCATGCGGGTGCACGCATCCACAGACTTCCCTTGCGTCCCTCCTCGCGTCCCGGCCGAAAATGTGAACAGCGCATGCGCCCGCCCCAAGATCCTTTGCGGCCGCCCGTGCAGTTTCACATTTTTGGACGGGAGTGCGCGGGGAAGATACAGATAAGTTTAAGGTTTTTTTTACTTTTTGCATAGATCTACTGCTTGCTAGCAGTAGATCTATGCAAAAAAAGCAGAGGGTTTAGAAACCCTTTAACAAATAAAAATATTTAGATTCACCCATTAATTCCGATTGAATTGTCAATATAAATCAGCTAAATACATTCTAGGTGCATCGAATTAACGTCGCTCGCTCACTTCTCGATCATGTCCTTGCAGAGAGCAGTGACTGTCAGTCATGGCTCCCTGCAGGGATTCCCCCCCCCCTCCCTGCTCCGATCTTCCAGCGCTGACAGGAGGAATGGACGGGGAGGGCACTCACGCAGCTGTGTGGATTTCAACAACATTGTCAGGATCCGTCCCAGGTGCGACAAAAGTCTTGCGATGGTTGTAAGGTGTATGGGCACCTTAAGGCAGGGGAGATTAGATCAAAAAATGGCCAATAAGAATCCTTCAACATCATAGAAAAATACTGTTTGCTTTGATTTTCCTGTCACATGATTGGATATTTTTTGCTAAGTGAATTTCAACGACGTTCACTTAGCTAAGCGAAATTTCTCTTGCAAATTCCCTTGCGAAATGAACAGCGGCAGATTGCTCCATTAATCATGAACAGACTGACAAAAGTCAGCAGCTTAGGCCAAAACTTGTGGAACTTACCACTAAATTTCTGGGACTTACATGAATACAGTATTTGTCTTGCAAGATACATTAATACAGATATCATGTACACACTAAAATATGTGTTACATACTTCCCAAATGTACATATGAAGCGCTGGCTGGATATATGTACATACAAAACATTCATATGCAATACTTCACATTTTCTTGAATAAAAAGCTTTTAGTTTTTTTTACCAAATCTGCCAAAAATAAATCAGTAAGAAATAGGAAATCACTATATATTATGGAAGCTGACCATTCAAACCATTGTGTCTTCAATTTTTACTATAGGCCTGCTTTAATATATAAAAAAAAAAAGCTTTGCACTCACGTGATGTTTTAGAAGCAAGTAGTGTGACCTTCTGCCCAGCAAGCAACTGAAATCCTAAAACACTGACTTGGTCATCCTCTGTACGCTCTATAAAATCTGAGAACAAAGTAACAGTTTAGTTTACAAGTGAACTGTCTGACTGAAAAATCTTAACAGTCTTAAAAACTTGTGAACATTTTACAAAAACAGCAATTCCAATGAACAAATGAAAGCAGTTAATGAATTGATTGTGCTATTCAGAAAAACCCACAGTTGTGTTTTCAGACAGCCCACTATATATGCATTAGTTTGTGTTCTATGTTATGTGCTACAGCTAAATTTCACAGAGCTCCTTGCACGTAGTGTAGGGTGGTCTGTGTTCAAAATTCCAAGGCAGGTTTGAATCTGTTTAGGCGCAATGAGAAATTTCTTAGTACTGTCCCTTTCATACACCAGACTTTCTGTATTATAAACAGATAAAGAAAAGCGGTCCCCACATTACAGTCAAAAGGGTATGAAGTGGACCAATGAAGTGGCTACATTTTCATCTCTAATTAATGCTTCTGAAAATGCTAGATGCCTGGTTGTGTCTGACTTCAGTATGTTTCAGTTACAGTCTCAGAACAAGAATGCTGTGAATGAGTGTCAGATCTATCATTCTCCAAGGAGAGCTCAGCAGTAACCACTAATTTCACAAGTTTAAGACAATAATGCACCATTTTACCAATTTACCATATGTATGGGTCATACCTAAAATAGGCCATATGTACCACACATGGGCTCACAAGTGGTCACACTAATACCAGCACAAAATGGCACCCGAAGTTTTTTTTCTTTTCTTTCCCTGTTTTTCGTGTCTCTTATTTCCTTTCTCTCACACCCTCACAGTACAGGTTTTCTATTGCTTTCTTTCATTTGACTAATCTTAAAAATACTCAATGTGGATTTATAAGTGCTGCCCAAATCTACAACTACTACACAGCAACAGGAACCTTATTCACATTACTGTGGAAATGTACTGGATTTCTGAATCTATTCTTTATATTCTTGCTTTTTAGTTTCTCTTATTGTCCTCTGTAGTATCCTAACTTTTAAAAGAATGTGTTAACAATAACCGTGACTAAAGGCTCACCTGGAAAAAGGTTAATGAGATTGACAGGAGGTTTGTTGGTATCAATGGTCAGCTTATGGTTTGCTGCTTTAGAGGGCTGGACAGGGGAGCAAACCAATCGCAGCGGAAGACGAAATTTACACTGCGCAACTCGCGGAACACCTGGTATGAAGAAGAAAAAAAACACAATACAAGGAGTTTAAATGCACACATCACAGCTCTGATTTGTGAAATGGTTTACTCTATGACTAAATAGTTTGTTACCTAAATAGCTCAAATTAAGCTATATGCTTGCATGCATTTATAGTACATGAGTACCTTATGTTAGATTATGTTGGCATTAATAATAGCAGATACAATCAAGTTCCCAAATTGCAAAAATATTCCAGCATGCTTAGATATGTCGTTGACCAGGTTCCTCAGATTTTCATTCTGCATACGATAGACATCATACAAATAAACGATTGCATCAATGACCAGTGTGGTATTGTGTGGCAATCCTACTGTAGAATTGGGTGTTATGATCATCCAGGACTCTCAACCAGAATGGCTGAGAGGTGTCAGGAAGCAAGGGTTTGTCTGGACTATGCTTGGGATTCTGGAACAGCGAGATTTCAAAGTGATTCAGGAGGGAAGAAAGCTCCAGTTCTGGGTCCAGGGTTTAGCAGTGACCAGCACCCAATGATTACACAGGTGTACAGAGCCCTTAAGAAAAGGATGCTGACTAGGGGAATTAGCTCCTCCTGGGAAATAGGAACAGACGGGTCAGGGAAGTCAGAGAGGAGTCAGGTGAGCTCCTGCTTGGATAGGAACAAACAGTGTTCAAGAGTCAGGAGGACTCCCCCAGATGTTAAAGTGGAGTCAGGTGGTTTGTGTGTTGGAGGCACACAAAGACAGCCGGGGAGGTTGGGAGAGAACTGGTGAGCCTAGGAGAGCCGTGAGTCTGAGGGGCCGCCAGTACAAGTGTGGGACAGCACTTCCAAGAGGACCAGTGGGTCAGAAGTGGTAATGTGTAAAGTAGAAGCCAGGAGGCTATACTTGTGTTGTTTTGAAGCATTGCATGGATGTTATGCTGAACAACCCCTGCAAGGGTATCTAAGGTGGATGTATGCACTTTTGTTTGAATAAAAGTGAGCTACCAAGCCCTTAAACAAAACATATTGAGAGTGGACTGCATTCTTAAGCACTCACCATATGTGCTAATATCCCCATACATCACACCAGAATTACAAATTTTTGCTTTCAAGCCATAGTAATGAACACTTTTACTATTACAGTGTATTATTTATTCCAAAACAAGTCCCAAAGATGACGCTAAGACAGCTCAAACCAAATAATTCCACTGCTAAATTTTAAAGAATATTCTCAATATCAGTTAAGCCAATGAGGTAAAACAAAAGATTGAGGCACTACAATATAATATTTTTTTCAAAAAGACCAGTCCATTGTAATTTTACTTTAATGTTACTAGTGGCTAATAGTTGAATCCCCCACTGGCATCTCGCATATGTAAAAGACTCCAGTAGCAGTAATCTACACACTTTACAACTCTTTCTAATATGCTTTAGTCATTATGAGGAATTTTCACTATCTCTGCCAGGCACAGAAGCCAGAGAGTGATTGAAAGCTCTACAATCCACAATAAGTGAAGTACTAAAGTTAATTAACTTATCTAGTCAAAAGAAGGAGTACAAGCATCTTAAAATTGAGAATGGCATTCTGAGTGTCATTACATTCATAGGCTTCAATTATCAAAGAATGCACCAACATGCAAGGTCTGCTTTTTCAGTAGTGACCTACCCCGTAAACACAGAGAATTTCACGTTTACAAACAATACACATATATGAGATGAGATGAGATCTGGGATTCACTGGTAAGAAAAAAACATATATAAAAAAAATATCCTTTTTTAAACTAATAACTAAAATCAGGACATACACATAGCTAAAATTAACATTTGGTCCCATGCGAAAAGAAAGTATGTAAATAAAAACAGCATATGTGGTACAAAACAGTTGTTTGCACTACCGATCAAGCATCTGTCAAAATGATAGCTCAGAGTTGCTGTGTAAATACAACAGCTGATAAAGCTGCTGCTGTCAAAAAAACGGACCATCTAACACAATGTTTAAGCAGAACTCCATACTTTTTTTTAATTAACCCTTGCAGTGGGTCTATTCCTGCACTGCAACGATTAAGTGCACATTTGTGTCTAGGTGCTAAAATAACAAAGATATACAGGTGAAACTCGAATAATTAGAATATCGTGCAAAGTTCATTTATTTCACTAATGCAACTTAAAAGGTGAAACTAATATATGAGATAGACTCATTACATGCAAAGCAAGATAATTCAAGCCGTGATTTGTCATAATTGTGATGATTATGGCTCACAGCTCATAAAAAACCCCAAGAACCCCAAATCCACAACCTCAAAAAAGTAGATTATTACATGCAATCAATAAAACAAGGATTGTACATAGAACAATATTGGACCTCTGAAAAGTACAAGCATGCATATGTACTCAGTACTTGGTTTGGGCCCCTTTTGCAGCATTTACTGCAATTACTTTTGCATGATATTCTAATTATTCGAGTTTCACCTGTACCCACCCAAAGTTCCAAGCCAACAAGCTGACAAAGGTGCTCCCTCCAGCCTGTTCCCTCCTCCGCAGCAGATTGGAAGGTTCCTCAGTGTCCTCACGTCTATGCACTGTGTACAGATGTGATGATTTACTGGACCTTAGACCGCTGCAGAGGAAAGGGAGAGACATTCCAGGGGCCAGTCTAAGAAGAAGCTGGCTGGGAGTAAGTCATTCTTTGTTTTTTTTTTAACCAAGACACAAACAAGCAGTTAGCCCTTGCAGTACACTGGTAGCCCCACTGCAAGGGTTCATTTGAAAAAAATCCTAGAGTTCTGCTTTAATGAACCCTGCTTAAGGTGGCCATACATTGTACGATTTTCGTTTAAAATATTTTGTTTCTGGCATGAACCCTTGTTTCATTATACCTAAACTTCCCCATCAAGTATAGTCAAATTTCAATTTCGGAAATTGTTAGTTGGCCATACTAACCAATTTATGAACGATGGAAATAATTTCCTTTTGCGCATGTGCTGTATTCTAGCTGAGATTTTTGACTAACAAAAAGCCCACTGATTTATCGATTTTCGCTCGGTTGGAGAAAAATGTTCCAACCTGATTAATCGAAAAATTTCGATCACAATATTAAAAAAAAAATCGGTGATGTACCATCAACTATTCGATTTTCGTTCGAAAGACCACTCGTGTACAATTTCTGAACCAAAATCTTTCAACGTATGGCCAATTTAAACGTGGGATATAAAGATACAAAGTATAATTGTTACATTCATATCTACTGTTTTATTCATTTGCAAATCAAAGGGACACACTTCAGTCTGCATATGATGTCAGTTAGAGCATCCTGACAAGTTAAAAACAAAAAAATAACCCAAAATAACCCAATATGAACCCTTAGTTTACCCTAATCAGTCTTAATTAACTCCTTACCCTTTAGGGTTTGTTGACACCATATCCGGATCCGATGTTCAGACCAGAACAGTTTGTTCCCGGACCAAAAAAAAAACATTCCAATGTATCCCTATGGTATTTCTGGGCTCTGTCCAAACCAGCACAGTCCGTTCCAGGCCAGACAAAAAAAAAATGCTTGTCTCATGTTCTCTGGTCTGGAATGCACTCGAACACATGGAAACGCATCAAAAACACACACAAACGCAGTGTACTGCACCTGAAAGACCATTTCAAGCTAAACAAAAAGCAGCAAAATCGCTGTAAAAACACATCAAAAATGCACTGCGTTTGCACATCTGCTCCATATCTGGTACGGACATGGTGTGAACATAGCTTAAAAGCAGAGCTCCAGGAATTTTTTTAATTAATCCTTGCAGTGGGGCTACCCCCGCTCTGCAAGGGTTAACTGCTGGTTTGTGTCTAGGTTAAAAAAAACTAAAGATATACTAATACAAAGCTTCTTCTTAGAACAGTCCGTGGAATGTCTCTCTCCCTCCTCCTCAGCAGTCTGAGTAAATCATCACGTCTACACACTGTGCATAGACGTGAGGACGCTAAGGAACATTTCAATCTGCGGAGGAGGAGGGAACAGGCTGGAGGGAGAACAATGACACCTGGCCGGCTCTGAACTTTGGGTGAGTATATCTTTATTTTAGCATCCAGACACAAACAAGCACTTAACCCTTGCAGTGCGGGGGGTAGCCCCACTGCAAGAGTTAATAAAACAAATTCTTGGAGATCTGCTTTGATATTATTTTCCTGCGATTTGTTTTTCTAATTTTTCCTATTTAAACTGTTTTTGTTTTTATTTGTTTTGTTATTTCTGTCACATTAAAAAAGTGCATTTAGTGTTTTTATTTATACAGTTGTGTATTTATAAAATGTATACCTTTTATCTACAAAAAACAATAACACTGGTCAAAGCAGAAACAATTATTGCATTAAATAAATTATTTTTGCAAGACTATATCACAGAAAGAAAGTCCTAGAAGAAACAATATGGGGGGAAATTATCAAAGCAACTACGACAGTTTTGGTCTCTTAGATCATTTTTTGTATGTGCAAATCTGTTTAGCCCCTCCTTTTAACATGTGCGCCTGTTTTGACCAGAGCTTGCACTATTTTTCAGATTGCGCCTGTTTTCCAAAAGTTTGCAACTGTTCACATCTGCACTTGTCCTGCGGCTGTCTGAAACTGGAGCATCACCAAAGAAAACAATCGCAACTGAAGAAGTCCCCGTGACCACTTCTTCAAGAAGCGACAGTTAAGCTTTTTGCCTGGTCGTTACAAGTTTTCTTTCCTGGAGTCTATTTAATCTCATTTATGAACAACATTACACCAGCAACATAAATCTGGCGCAAATATTTCCCATGCGACCATATGCGAGTTGAAACATTCATAACTGCTATGATAAACTCCCCCCTATGTGTATTACTTTGTTATTTTTAAACAGAGTCCCGGCGGCAAAAGTCACCGGGAGTCTGTTTAAACAGCCCCGATGCTGGCGACGTACACTGTACGTCGTCAGTCACGAAGGGGTTAAGTAATGACAAAGTTATTGCTGAATCAAAGGCATATAGCTGAAATGTAAAAATTGCTATGGTCCATAAG